CTACTCAAATGTCAGAATTAAACCAAACCATATAAACGAATTAAAATCAAATGCCCAGAAATCGAACCTCGCATGTGGCTTTTCCATCTCGCGCCGTTGACGGGAGCCCTCGCCGTCCGGCGACCTCTATTTCTTCTCCTCCTCTCACGAGAATCAAATCCGAAACTAGAATCCCCAAAAATCAAAATACAGAAAACAGGGGAAGAGAGGTCAGAAACCGCAAACATCCATTAATCGAACAAAAATACCCTAAAAATCGACATGCATATGAATGAAATTTATCATACCTCCGTGACCATCATTGGTGTCATCATCGGAGTCGATCGCCGTCTTCCTTTAGACATCGTCAGCATTCCCTTCGACCCCTTTCCCTCGTTGTTCCTAGGAAGAAGAAGAGAGGAACGACGGGTCGAGAAATGAGCGATGTGAGAGAATCGGAGCGATGGGAGAGAAGAGTTTTCGTTTTCCGTTCTCGTTTCAGAGAAAAATGAGAGAGATGAGGAAATGAGGAAGAAGGGCGGCTAGGGTTTCTCATAGTGAGGTTCTATATCCGAGCAAATTGACCAAATTGCCCCCTCCCCTAATTTTGATTAAACACAAAAAAATATGCCTCTAGGGTTATTCGAACCCCAGACCTCAGGCTCATACAAATACATAAAAAAAGCACCTAACCAATTGGATTACAACTTTTACTTGGTAATTCAATTCCTGCGCTGTTATTTATTTTACGCTGAGCTTAATACCAAAATTTATATCGACTAATCGTATCAGTACTTTTGCGTTGGCCAAGTTACGATTACTTCTCGGTATCTCAAAAAACGTTAAAACTTTGATTAGGTTTGACCCTTTTTTACATACACATATTTATTTTACTTAGAGTTTTCCTAATATAAAATCATGGTCAATAGACCGCGATAATCGTTCTTGACCAAATTCTTTCAAATATCATCAATCACTAAATTGAAATATCGTAGTATATCTTCAAGTTCCAATATCACACCGTAACTTAAATTATTAGAATGTGCTAATATCATAAACCTTTTTCTTTCTAAAAGATCTCTTAATACGAAATAACGGTCAACAGACTGTGATGACTTATTAAGCCAAGTTATTTCAAAAATCATAAGCTACTCAATTACAAGATAAAAAAATCAAAATATTTGCCTTAATCGAAAGGCCTATAACAAAACTTAAACACGTGTCAATAGAGCGTGTTTAGTTACTTTCAAAAATCTCTCCACACTCCTTATGTGTGAGACTCCACATTTCAAATCTCTCAATTTCATCGAACTACGTGGACTTTGATCCCGGTTAACCCGGGTACGTAGGCAACCGATAGGTTCGAGTCCAACCAATCTAAAAAACCTTTTTACGTCAATAGACGTGAAAACCGGTAACTTTAAATTCAAGTGTATACCAATAACATCGTCCAATTGGACTCTAACAATTTATATTCTTACTAATTAAAGATAATCGAATATTACAACTAAATACACAAACAAATCCCAATTAATATTACACCCAACCTCTAAAAACTTATCGATTTACGTAGTACCCGTTATGGGGCGTTGTGGGGTGTGGATACACTTCCCTGCACGTAACCGTACTCCCGAACCTAGAACAATCTAAAAGTGCAGACCAGAATTCTGGTTTTAACAAAAAATTAAAACCGGAAAAGGGTGTTCGACCCACCCCAAAGCACGGTCGATGGTGACTCCGATCAGTTCGCGACGGGTCCCCCTATTCGGAGGGGGCGGTTGCGACAAACCGGTTATACCATTAATCGGGAAACCGTTTACCAGCCCTAACTATTTATATCTCGCCATAAAATTTTAAGCTAAATACTATTTATTAGTCGAACCTTTCAAAAATAAAATAATAACCAATCCGTTAACTTTATATCCAATTAACCGTTAACTGGCATTAAGTGCATTTTTTAATTCGGCCACATTCGGCAGATCACGGCCAATTTGGTCACCCCAAGTTTTACTTTCGTATTTTGTGCGGTAGCACTGCCAAACGAGGGGGAGGAAACGACTGATGCTATTGACCGATCATTAAGAATTATATTAATTAATAATGCCGCCGGCGATCCAACCTGAATCCACCCATCGTCCATCAGTTCTAACTCCATTCCTTTAACTTTTACATAGTTCCTCCGGTAGCGATTGTCCCCCAGTGAAAACAGCACAATTCCTCCGGCTGTCCATTATTTCTCACTAAATCCAGAGCTGCGTATACATATAAAACCATCTCCCAGCTCACCTAGCCTTGTGTCCCTATTTGCATCCGTCAACACAGACACACACAAAGGATCAAATTCCGAGTGATGGAAAATCTTGACATGTTCGCCGGAGGGATCGAAGTCATCCCTTTCCCTCCCTTCAAGCAGCAGGACGATCACCGCGCCAACGAAGCTCAATTGCCAACCTCAACCTTCCCCGAAAGTCACGAAACCGAGGAAACAGTTGACAATCCGGATCCACCAGCGCCGGCGCCCCTGTCCAGTGAAGATCTTATGAGGATCGCGGCACTAAAATTCATCCAGTCCCACTCCAAAGACATGCCGTTTGACGTCTTGACGGCCACAGTGGACGCTCCTCTCTCGGAAGAGCAATCCGAGAGCGTGGAGCTCGCCGAGCTTCTCCTGGAAGCTGTAGAGAAAGTGGGAGACCGTCGATTCGACGATGCCAGGGCACTGCTCAGGCAATGCGACGGTCGGGCTTCCCCAACGGGAAACCCAATCCAACGGCTAGTGTTCTACTACTCTCGAAGCCTGCAACACCGGGTCGACCGAGAAACTGGTCGAATTGGGGCCGGGGACATGTGGAAAGCGAAAGAGCAGTCGTCCAATCTGTTCAGAGTTGCAATGAACCCAAGCGTCAGGTTGGTTGAGTTTCAGAGGAGACTTCCTTTCTCCCAGGTAGCACAGTTTGCTGGGATCCAGACGATTGTGGAACACGTGGAGGGCGCTAGAAGGATCCACGTCCTAGATTTGGCGATCAGGACAGGACATCAATGGACGATCCTGATGCAGGCACTGGCGACCCGGAGAAGAGACCGTGTGGAGCATCTGAAGATAACCGCCGTGGCGACGATGGAAAGGGAGTTGATCGAGCAGACAGGGAGAAGGCTGGTGACTTTTGCGCAGAGCATGAACTTGGTCTGCAGCTTTTACGTGATCATGGTCCGTGACCTGGCAGAGCTGAGGCAGGACCAGTTGCAGTTCGATTCGGGCGAGACGGTGGCTGTTCTGGCGGATGATGTTGCAAGAACGCTGACAAGTCCCGCGGAGAGGCTGGACTCGGTGATCAAAGTGATCCGGAGGGTGCAGCCGTGCATCATGGTGGTGACGGAGATGGAAGGGAGCAGGAACTCGCCGGTTTTTGTGAACTGGTTCGTGGAGTCGCTGTTCTTCGCCAGCGTGCTGTTCGATTCCATGGGGGAATGTATGGGGAGCGAGGAGGCGTGGAGGAAGTTTGGAGAGGAGACATTGGGAGGGGTGAGCAAGATGGTGATGATGGGGACGATAAGTGATACACTAGGGCAGGGGAGAGCCTGGATGATCAGGAGTATGAAGGTGGATATATGGAGGGCTTTCTTTCGGCGGTTTGGGATGGTGGAAGCGCAGTTGAGTCATTCTTCCATGTACCAAGCAGAGCTCATGGCTCAGAGCGTGCCGTGTTGGAGCCCTTGTTCGGTGTGGATGGATGGGAAGAGCTTGATTGTTGGGTGGAAGGGTACGCCCGTCAAGTCTGTTACTGCTTGGAAGTTTAGTTGATGACCAGTAGTCAAATTTCTTGTTTGTCGGACAGTACTCTCAGAATACCTGGAGAAGTGGAGAAGAAAAGCGGGATTCAGTAAGACGCCAGTGACTCAAATTTGTTATTTTACCATGAAAGCGAGTAAAACACAGACACGGCTGCCAACCTCTATTCCTTTCTGATTTATTTTGACAGGCTGCTTATTCTGGTATCGTATTGGAGAAAGGAACAACATCCACTAATATCTACGAAGGAAACCATATCAGTGTATTATACATTTTAGCAGTCAACAGTAAATGTGTTATAGATTCTCATTACATTTCTGGACATGGAATAAGTAAGAACTTACCTGCTCCTGCTGAAGCAAGACTCTAAGACGTGCAAGCAGTGCCAAAAGTGCCAAAGAAAACTCCATGAAGAAAGAGCGTGCAAGCAGAATACAAACCTCCCTGAGGAGGAGTCAAGGATGCCAATAGAATAGAAGAGAACAATGCTAATAGATGAAAGGATGCTCATTTTCCAGCAAACAGCGATTCAAGATGGAACTCAATAATAATTAGTAGTTAATGAAATGCCAGTGTGATTAATAGAAGCACGATACAAGCAATTAGAGTCAGCTACCGCATCAGAGGCTACTGCATCCACTTCAAATCTTCAAGTGACAGAATAATAATCATCAAACCATGAAAACAAGACAAGAATGGAAAACTTAGTTCTATCCTAGCCAGCCAAACAGGATACGCAGCTGCCTTCAAAATTGGCGCTAACACAAACAAAAATTACCTAATCCGATTCAGAGTTGAACCCATAACATAAAATCTGTGCTTACGGAACTTGATACGGTCCATCCCAGAACAAGAATTCAACACATCACCTGTAACAGTAAGCGTGCAGCTCCCAGAAGTCTCTCCTAAAAATTGGGTACTCCGGAGTCGCTTTGTCTCCACTTCAAGCCCTGTCCAATTAGTGATAGTTTTAAGATATAGTACCAATACTACTGATTCATGTAGTTAAACAGCTATGAATTTCAAGACTTTGCACTATCAGGCTTCAATCACACAAACCCTTTTGTCATAAAAAGGATTCCAATTGATAAAGGTATTACAGATGGTCAGACAATTTTCAAAATCCTATAAGAATAGCATGATTAAGGATTAGCTCTGCTAGCGAGGTGTTACTTCATAACCCATCCGCATTGTTTTGGGAGCAAGAAGCCAGAAGCTCTTCCAGTTTAGCAGATTGCAACAACCTCAAATCCCTTCTCACCTAACATCTCCGTATTCCGCAAAGTACACAACACAAAATCAACAACCTCAATAAGGATATAAGGCCATACCTGGCTGTGAACTGGTTCCTGTTCTTATAAACAATTCTCCAAAAAAAAAATCAGCATTCCGCCTGAAGCTGCTCCAACAAAGACTTCAATTTCTCTTCCATTCCATACTACTTTCAATTTCACTACCCATTCCTTATTTTTTGTCCTTCAACTTTCCATTACAAAACTAGACAATGAAGCTCCTAACTGGACAATTAGCGGCTTGGAGGGTTTTAGGGGTAAGGGGTTTTGTCCAAACTGAGACTCCGGCGAAGTGAAAAACCGACGCCGGAGGGGTTTTTCCCCCAAACCAAATACTGATGCCGGACTGATCGGTGAACATGGTGTGGGTCTAGTTATCAGAGCTAGGAACGGACCTTATTATGGGATTTGTCGGACGAGAATGAGGGCGATGTAGGGTGGAGGAGACTGAGGCTGAGGCTCGAGAGTTTACTTGTGAGTAGAAAGGAAGCAGAAAAGACAGGACACTGGTGCCCGGGACGGATTGCCGGGCTCTGGTCGGAAATTGAAGAAGGATAGAGATTTCACCGAGCAGCTTGGCCGCAGCCGGATCTGCGAAATGGTCGGTCACGGTCACTAGGGAATAGGGATGGCAACAAAACCCGAACCCACGGATACCCACCCGACCCAACCCGATCAACGGGGTAAAATCAGTGTTGATGGGTTTTGGGCCGGGTTTGGGTTTAAACCCGTTCACAATTCACCGGGTTGGGTTTGGGTTTAGATAAACCCGACCCATGGGTACCCACCCACTAGGGCTGTCATTTCGGTTTCCGATTAGCGGCTAACCGGCCGGTCTAACCGTTAACCGCCGGTTAGTGGCTAACCGGAAACAAAAAAAATTGGACACGGTCGGTTGTCGGAGGCTCTCCGTAGTTAGGCGGTTAGCGGAAAAACCCGCCGGTTAAACTGGCTAACCGACACTAACCGGCAGGCCTAAACTACGTCGTTTTAGCCTTAGATAAAACACCCCATCCCCAACCCTAGCGGCCTTCTTCCCATCTCCCAAATCCCCAGCCGCCTCCCTCCAATCCACCTGCTCCCAACTCCAACCGCCTCGCCGCAACTCCGCCTCGCCGCCACTCCGCCTCCAATCGTCGTCGCCGCCAACCCATTCCTCCACCAGCTGAAATCGCCGCCGCACCGCTCGTTGGCCCGTCATCTCCTCCCCTGCTTTCGCCAGAGAGGTCTTCACCACCCACGACGTCACCTTCGCCAACCGCCCCGTCACCGCCGGCAACCGGATCCTCTCCTACGGCCTCCTGGACATCGGGTTCGCCCCCTACGGCGGATACTGGCGCCACCTGCGGAAGATCTGCAAGTCCGACCTCCTCAGCGCCAGTCGGGTCGTTCCGCCGGATCCGGGAGGAGGCGCCGGCGGATCTGGTCGCTGGAATCGCCGCCGAATCGCGGGACGGCGGTGTCGTGAATCTGAGCAAGAGGATGGGGGAGATGACGTACGGGATCGCGGGTCGATTGGGACGGAGAAGAAGGATGGGAGCGGTCGCTGCTCTTGAAAGGAAGAAGAAGGGCCGTCGCTGAAGAAGAAGAATCGAGATGGTGAAAGGAAGAAGAAGAATCGAGATGGTATTGGTGAGAGGGCAGTGCTCTGGAAACTGGAAAGTGGATAGGAAGAAGAAGAATCCAGAAGTGAGAGGGTGAGGAGTGAGTGGTTCAGAATTTTGCTTCCTTTTTTTTTTTTTTATAAAGGGTATTTTCCGGTTGGCCGGCTAACTGAGCCTAAAACCGAAGCCGACCGGTCGGTTGACTGGCTAACCGTGACCACTCTCACGGTCGGTGGTCGGCAGGGGTGCAGAGTGGCTCGGTTTAACCGATAACCGGGATTTCGGTTTTTGGTTAAACCGAAACCGACCGACTGCCACCCCTACCACCCACACTCATATAATTAATTTCTCGGTATATTTAATATTCTAAACAACTAATCTTATTTATTTTTGTGGAGACATGTCTAAATTTTTCTTTCTAATTGTGTAGAATGAAGTTGATGTTATCGAATGAAGAGTAAAGAAACTTAATTGAAAGGAAGAAACTTTCAATTAATCATGTTATTTAAGGATAATTTGTGATTTGCTTCAATTTTCTTGAGTTTTCTAGATTGGTGTTGAACAATTTGTATAGTTAATTTGTGATTTGCTTGAATTTTCTAGAATGGTGTTTTAAATATGGATAATTTGTATTAAGAGATTGATATTTGACTTTAATTTTGATAGGAACTTGTTATTGTAAATTTTTTACGACAAAAACCCGTGGGTACCCATGAACCCGCGGATACCCAGCGGGTTAGGTAGGGTTTGAGTTTTTCAAACCCAGTGAGTTTTACCCCGAGTTTTTTTCACGGATAAACACATGGGTTTGGGTTTGTGTGTTTAGCAAAACCCGACCTCACCCGACCCATTGCCATCCGTAACGGTCAGGGAGGAATTTCGGCCGGGGGTCTCCAATGCGGGTAAAGGACTAGGACTTTGGGCTTAGATTAACTAACTCTGTGGCACATTTAGTAGCCCACTAATCTGCTCCATAGCATGGTCCATGAAACCGTACCGTACCGGCGGTTCAACCAAAAAATACTAGTATCGGAGATTAAACAGGTAGACGGTATTTAACGGTATAACAGTTAAACTACGGTTAAACCACGATTTTATCATAAAATATCATCCCGTTCACTTTTCCGGTACGATATCTGTTAGGTTTCATGGACCATGCTTCATAGATCACTACTGGAACATGGACAGACAACCTTGTTTCCTAGGGTTTTTTTGCTAACGAAGTGACGATCTTCTGGGCTTTAAGCCACTTCTTTTGATTTAATGGAGCAGGTGAATTATAACAACAGGTGGAAAAGGTGAATTGGTTATTGAAATTACCAAAAATATTTATGTTTGGTCATCAAAATTATTTAATTTTATTTTAATTTAATAGATTTAGTAAATTAGTTTAAATTTGATCACTATTTGTTAGTTTTTTTTTTTTTGAATAATCATCTGTTAGTCTTTGTCCATCTTTGTTAACGGAAGTCGTTACTTGTTTGTAGGGTCAATGATCCAACTTGACCCGGCTGGGAAAAATTAATATACTAACTTGAAGATTCGTTAGCAGATACTAACTGATATCCAAAATACATGAACTAGTATCCAAGTACTAAAGTATCTAGAGAGCACAGACTAGTATTCAAGGTTTGCTAACGGATATCCACCATGAATCAACTATTATCCCAAATTCACAAACTAATATCTAGACAGCACAGAATAGTATCCATATAGAACATAATTAGTATCCAGATAACACATAAGAGTATCCAGATAACATATAAGAGTATCCATATTGAATACTAGTTGGTTGTTTGTGGATATTAGTTGGTATCTGCTATTTGGATACTAGTTTGTGATGTTTTGAATACTAGTCTGTGCTATCTAGATACTCAGCAGATTTGGATATTAGTTCATACATTTTAGATATTAGTTAGTATATACTAACGAATATCCTAGTTAGCAGAATAACTAGACTGGACCCGGCTGGGCCATGTTCTCCTTTGGCCCTGTTTGGTTCGTATTGGTAGGGTTGTATTAGTCCGGACCATGGTTGTCATGCCGGTGGCATGCCACCCGGTTCAACCTGGTTTAACCTGTGCCGGTCATGAAACCGGTATGACACTACCGGTATGATCGACTTACGCATTCTAAGTAAAATGGCATCATTTTAATGAGTTTAATGAATAAAAAATTAATTTATTATTCATTTTATGAATGTAATAGTTAAAAGTTGATGATATTTGTTGGGTTGTAACTAAATTGTCCACAAATATGTTTTTATATATAATTAAATACATGTGATATTAATTGTTTTCACATTTTTTTACACCGGCATGAACCGGCACAAAGTGGGGAATGGGTTAAGGTGATTACTTATTTTTTAGTAATCATGGTGGCAACCTCTTTATATACCATTTGATTAATTATTTTTCTTTCTTTTGTAATCTTACGGTCAAGATTCTTTTAGGGCAATTTTGGAAATGAAAAAGTGACCACACCTGATTATTCTATATAATCTACCCAAACCCTAATTCTACCCTCCCTCCAGCCAAACCCGACGCGGTCGCCTCCACCACTCCCGTCGCACTAATCCCGCCGGCCGCAGCCCCGGCGATGACTCTGTGGCGGCCATCCCCCGGCAATGACTCCGTGCCCGCCACCCTCTGTGTCGGTGCCCTCCTACTGCTCTCTCTCCATCTCCCTCCCGCTGCTCTCTCTCCATCACAACATACATACCCAGATAAGATTTTGGTGGGTACAGAGTACAGTAGCAGCCATATTGGAACCATGTCCCAGCAGCCCTAAGAATTATATACAAATACAACCATAGTTATAGTAGACATGAAACCTAGATCTGGTAATTTTTTTGTTTTGGTATTAGTTCATTGCTTTGTTTATGAAATGGTATAGTTTGTTTTTCATAATGATATTGATTTATTTCTGCAATGGTATTGTTTTGATTTCACAATAGTAGTTATATTGATTGATTTTGGTATTGGTTGACTCTTGTAATGGTATAGATTGTTTGTATTGGTAGTTTTAGTATAATGGTATTACTTTATTTGTGCAATGGTATTGTTTTGGTCTCACAATAGTAGTGGTATTGGTTGTTTTGGTATTTGTTTGACTTTTGTAATGGTATAACTTTTTTATATTGGTAGTTTTCATGCAATGGTATAGATTTATTTTTGCAATGGTATTGATGTTTTTCAAAGTGTTAGTGGCTGTCTAATGGATTGGTAGTGATTTCGTGTTTTTTATTTTTTTGCAGAAAGATTGAGAAAAATATGGAAAGAAGATCTGGCTGGAGATTACGGAAGTGAGAGAAAGAGAATGAATTGTAATTAATAGATTTTTGTAATTACCTAAAATCTAATTTATTAAAAAAATTAATTAATATAATTTATTTTTCATGCCCAATTTACCCTTAGTAACCACGGTGATTACTACATTTGTAGTAATCACCGTAACCCCTCCCCACAAAGTGGTTATACCACCGGTCGTACCATTCCACTTGCCAAACCGACACAACGGTATAAACCGGTTTGACAACCTTGGTCCGGACAGACCCAGTGAATGGGCTCACAATCTCACATCAATGAACACCGTTTTTTGAAAATAGCATTTAGGTGCCTAAACTTAATTTTCTTACAATTTAGTACTTAAAGTTTATTCTATTACATAAAATCCAAAAATCTTGGTGATAAAATTGTGTTTTAGTACCTTATAGCATGTGTCCTGTGAGACTAATTTGCATTTTGTAAAATAAAGACGAGCTTCTCTTCGACACAAAATTAAAATACAAAATACTTTTCGTCTCCACGAACAACATAACAATACATCTCTATAGACCAATGGATAATAAAAGATTCGTTGGTGAAAGACTGCAATGTTTCACGCTTTGAAATATGAAATGTTGCGGGTAATGTCACAAGAGAAGTTCCCACTTTGATTACCCACAAAATACGGGACGAGTAACCACACCCGCCAATTTTCACCCCTAACAATAATGGTAGATGATGGGGGAGGGAGGAATCAAAAGAGGAAGGGGAAAACAGATCTGGAAGCTCATCGAAAATGCAAAGAAAGGGTAAGTTTGAATATGAAATTGCTTTGTAGTAATCGAACAACTTTTTTTTTTTTTTTTTGTGTGTGTTTCCATTAAGCTCACCGCTATGCTCATAAATCATAAAGTTAGCAGAAGGGTGGAACAAAAGAGAGCAAAGAAGAAATGAAAGCAACAAACAATCTTGGAAAAAAGGACTCCTCCTCTCTATTGTGTGTGGAACCAATCAATCTGACCTCTCACTCACTCTTCCGCTTTCCTTACTACTTTCCTTTCTTATCTTTCTCTACTATTTACAGGAGAATACAAAATACATCAATGCGTGAAAGAAGAGTTAAAAATAGTAAAATGCAACTATATAGGAAAAGAGATCAGAAGTCAATAATGGGCTCCCCAATGGTGAGGTTCCTGTCAAGCGTCCATGGCAAGTTAAAGACCTTCGCGGCGATGAACTTGAAGATCTTGTTCACGTTTATGTTGTGTTTCGCACTCGAAAAGAAGAGCGCCGCCTTCATCGCTCGTGCATACGCCCTTGCCTGCGTTTGTGTTCATCATCATGCCACCACCAACACAATTTGATCAGCAAGTTTGCAGATAACCAAAAAGATAACAGTTTAGGTACACAAACAAGAGTTGGCTGCAATAAGGATCTCCTAATTTGCTATACCCTTGACTTGAATCTTCGGACAACACATCATTTAAAGGAGAAAAGGTGTTACTTCTCAGTATATGAAACCCCTTCTTTTTGAATGAGTACAATGCAGCATAAATGTTTAAAAATGAAAACCCTGCTAAAGCATATTCCTGAATTGAAAGCTTTACAGATTACGCTGAAAGGGGAATGGGCAAAGCCTTAAATTAGATCTACCATCCATACGGACGGGGGGATCCCTAAAGAAGATTCCTTCCTTGTCTCAGAACTTAAATTCTTTCACTTTAATGAAGCTTTTGTGTGCGGGCGTGACCCCACCATTCTGCCTGCTTTGTCTATCAAACGCGCAAAGAGGGAAAAGGAATCTCAAAATGCTACAGAGTAAGTCACAATTGCAGGCAATGTTCCCCTAAACCTGTTCAAAGACAAAACCGAGAGAAGTTCTGTTCTACTGTTCATCTGAGCACTGTTTGCTATATGTCATTTGTATGTTTACCTGTGTTGCAATAGTCCACTGTAGATTTGGAGGTAGGCGGACGAAATCATCAAACTTGGTCCCGATCAGGATGGGAATAGCCGTCTGCAAGAGAAAAGAATAAGATAGATTAACCCACAGCCACAAGCCTTCCTTCCTTAATACACATGCAACAAGTTAGAATGTCATGATTGTGATAGAGTGCATCCCCCATGGCCATGGGTGGATGACCCTACTAATTTCAAACAAAAAAGGAGGCAACAGAAAGAAACCAGACCGACCACCCACTTGATTAAACAAGCCGTAACACACTATAACAATCATTCCAGCCACTGGATTCAGGTTTTCAGTGCCACATGATGATCATTGCCATCACTATCATCACCCTCTCCGATTTCTTTCAGCATCTCTACCATTGCTGCCAAAATTTTGCTTTTATGTTCAATCATCGGTTGTTACTCCATAATCGTTATTAAGGGCTAATTACTTGGTTCGTGCCACCCCCACCAGCAGAAAATTGTCACTTCCCCAAGATTCCCAATTATAGTTGAGAAGTATTGTCCATAACCATAAGTTATAGTTAAATGCCTTACCAAACGGAGGTTGAGTATTCAGAAATTTGCAGAGGTTGGTGCACTTTACATCTGTACAGATTAATGATTACTTAATAGCTTATAGCTAACAGCACTATTCATCTCTATCTCACAGGAGGATGGATCAACAGAATTTGGTAGAGGTATTTAAGGACACCAAACGAACAATAATGATTACATTTATAACAAGATAATTGAGGTTGTAACTGTTTGACTTTATTACCTGGTTCCATTTCCTGGCTTCAGAATACCATCCAGCAACGCTGTTAAAACGAACAGTATATTTCATTACAAAAACATATTTTACCCTGGAACGCAACTGTTATAAGGAATAAAGAAAGGTTTGATGATGATGATGATGATGATCAGCCAACCTGTCGAGTGTGCATCTGCTGGTGAGATCAAACATGAAAAGAATTGCAACTGCATCTTTACAGGCAATGGGGACTTGATCAAACGACCGGCTATCTCCTGCAGAAACAGAGAAGGTTTCAGCTCCTTCTGAAACTTGATACCATTATGAAATCCAGATAAGGAAAGTAAAGATTTTTAGGAAATTTTCCGGGGTACCTCCAACATCCCATATGCTGAATGAAATCCTGGCATCTTGAACAAACAATGTCTTGTCCATCAAATTCAACCCTGCCATTTCCAAGCTCTTCTTCACCTGTTCGTCCCCAACATACTTGATCTTCAGCCATCAGCAACAGAGCCCACACAAGGAAATTAAGAAACCAAAAGGAAGGTAATAAGAAAATCAGCTCACGTACCCATCAACAAAAACAGCTCTAACTCTGACTATTGACCAAAAAAAAAATATCTCCAGCTCATTCAGGACCAATTCAGAATCAATCAAGAACAACCCAGAAAGCAGAAACCCCCCATTGATTAAACCGAGAAATGCTTACCACGAAGCTAGTTTTTCCGATTTGACAATCACCCAGCAAGCTGATCTTCAGCGGCACCAAATCCGAGTTGGAAGAGTTGAGCTCGCCGGTTCCACTCGTCGTGCACGCCTCGACGAAAGGCACAGCGTCGTAGTCGTAGTCGGGGCCGCCGGCTTGGGGCGGCGAAGACGAAGTGGAAGAAGAAGAAGAAGAAGAAGTAGAAGGCGAAGTATTCGTCCCAGCACGAGTTATGCGGCGGTATTTGGAGGGCGGCTTACCAATAGAACAGGCGAGAATCCTATCCCACAAGAACTCGAAAAACTGGCGGAAAACAGAGACCCGTTCCAGGACGCTCCACTTGATGTCAACCCGGGCGATTTTCCGGATGATTTCACCCATCTGCCTAGGAAATTTCTTGCTGGCGGCCATGGAAGCAGCAGTCGCTACACTGCAGCAGCGAGCTTTTCATAGCTGATAACTCTTTGTTGTTGCAGTTGTGGTTGTTCTTTCTTGTTTCTGCAATCTTCTTTCTTTCACGAATGGGTTTTCCAGAGATCTTTTGGGTGCGTGTGTGTGGGTATTGTAAACTAGAAGTCTATAACAAACAAAAAACGTTGAGAGGGCTGGGGGGAAGAAGACGAGAAGAAAACAAAGGAGGTCTGGTGGGCGGAGTTGGCGTTTGGGGACTCGCGGGCGGGCAGTTGACCGGTACAGCTTCTTTCGCTTTTCCGGACTACTACGGCCAAAGCCGTCCCACGACTGACTCACTCGTAACCATTTTTATTTTATTTCTTTTCCCCATTGCCATATAGTGCGTTTGGTTTAACACTTTTATATATGTTTGGTAGAGTTTTCAATAAAAATATGTTTTCTTTGATGAATTGATGGGTCTATGAGCCAACCCTTGAACTTTTTAAGAAAGTGAGACCTTTAGTTGGTACCTTATAAATAATAAACTAAACTTAGTGTTTATGCCTGGTGAGTGGTGAGTACCCGGCGGTTGAGTTAGGGGTGGGAAACGGTGCGGTTGCGGTTAACTGCACCGCAATTTGCGGTTAACCGAAACCGCAAAACACCCTTATTGGCCAACCGCGACCGCGACCGCAACGGTTAGCGGTTAACCAAAAACCGCAGAACTCGGTTAGCGGTGAACCGCGGTTTATGGTTGTGAAAACCGCACCAATCGAAACACCATATCAAACCGCAGTTAGCACTCTAACCGACAATTAACCGCGAACTAACCGCAAAAAAATCATGGAAAAAAAAACTCAGCAGCTACTGTTTTGTCTATTTTCACTTCCATCAAGCCCCTGCATCTGTCTGATATCCAAATAACACAATCCACAAGCACAAATGCACAATCCCAAGTTTGAACTTCATAGGAAATTAACCAACATACCAAATAAACATAGACATAGCTAGAACTTAAACATCAATTCTTCAATCATTCTTAATCGGTGATCCTACTGACTATCCTCCCCATCACTAGAATTGTCATCCTCGCCATCACTGTCGCTAATAGCTCCTCCATCACTAGGTCCCACTCCGCCCGTAGCACTAGGTCCCACTCCGACCGAAGCAGAAGGAGCTTCACGATCAATGGGCATTGCATTTACTGCACTTCCAAGTCCAGCTGTGGCAGAAGTATTCACATCCCACACTAAAGTTTTGAATGCTAAAACAATAAAACAAATATTAGAATGGAATTAAGTTAGAAAGCAAAGTAACAATAGCTCAACAAACTAAAGCAACTAAAATAAAATAAATACCATTGTCAAGATCTTCCAACTCCTCCAAATCCTCATCTTCAATTGGCAATGTTGAGCTTGCTAACCAATCTTCACTGCAAATGAGAGCTTCCACAATTTGAGGAGTCAAAGAACTCCTAAAAGAATCCAACACACGACCTCCGGTACTAAAAGCACTCTCGGAAGCTACTGTGGAAATGGGGACAGCAAATATGTCTTTGGCCATCTCACTCAAAATGGGATAGCGATGTGCATTGTTTTTCCACCAACTAAGCACATCATACTTCATATTCTTCGCATCTCCTTCACGGATCTCTACCAAATATCTGTCCAACTCGGGGGATTGAGCAATTTCCTCACACGCTTCATAATCATCATCACAAACACGCCTCCCCACATTGGGCACAAGGCTGCCCACATCACCAGGAGTAGTCGTTTCTGCACTCCCAATCCCAGATTGTGACCCTTGGCCTTGACTTTGAGTAGGAGGTTTGCATTTGCTTTGGTAATGCTTAAACAAGGAAGTAAGCTCACTCTGAAGATCTTCAGCCAACTCATCCCCTCTAACTTGTCCATATAACTTCCTCAAAACATAAATGGGATACTTCATTTTGTGCCTAGGATCAAACACCACTGCCATGTAGAAAAGCTTGTTCATTCTTGAATTATCATTCTCCGCCTCATACCAATACTTTCCTACCTTTGCATGCATCCTAAATGCCATATTTCTGACCTCCTCTTCCTCACTAGCCTCCATTTCTTTGAGCTGGTGGAATATATGAAGAAGCTCTCTCAAGAATAGATGAGAAGTCACATACTTCGTACCTGAAACAAGTAAGCTAAGCTCATGAAAGTAACTCAAGTGCTTGCACAAGTTTCTTGCACTCTCCCAATCTGCTGCAGTTGGAGGACCAATTTCCTCACCCTTGTACTTCTTTAACTTCAAGAGATCAACACGAAACTCCCCATCCTCAGTCTCAAGAAGTTTAAATGCCTTCTCATACAACTCAGCTGACTCCAACATTAAATATGTGGAATTCCACCTAGTGGGAACATCCAAACACAACATCTTCTTGCAGTCAATGTGATGAAATCTAACACATTTCTTAAAATTTTCCAACCTTGCAGGTGAAGCACGAACCAATTTCACAGCCTCCCTAATTCGAATTACAGCCACCCCAATTTCCTCCAATCCATCACTGACAATGAGATTAACTATATGAGCCACACAACGGATATGCAAATATGCACCATCTTTAACACTGCTACCCCAAGTCATCAATTTATCCTTCAAGCAACCGATTGCAGTATCATTTGCAGATGCATTGTCAACTGTGATGATAAACACATCCTTCAAGCCCCATTCTTCCAAAATGCTCCCAATAGAGTCAGCAATATCAAGACCCTTGTGACTAGTAATGCGACGAAACCCAATGATCTTCTTATGTAACTTCCAATCATTAGCAACAAAGTGAGCAGTCAAACTCAAATAATTAAAGTTCTGAACAGAAGTCCAACAATCTGTTGTAAGAGACACCCTGCCAGCACACTTGTCATGGAAATAATTCTTCAGTTGCTTCCTCCCATCAACAAACAATCTGAAGCAATCTTCTCTAATGGTCTTTCTACATGGGATCTTGAACATAGGACATGAAGCAAGACAAAATTGTTTAAACCCTGCCCTCTCAACAAATCTAAAGGGCAACTCATCCATGATTATCATTTGAGCTAATGCATACCTCACTTTTCCCTGCTCAAATTTCCAATTTGCTAAAGTTTTCATCCTTTCATCAATTGGTTGTAGGCTTAATTGCATTTGACCACCTTGCTCTGCCCTTTTTCTTCTACAAGATCTAGTATGAGTACGGAGAGCAGAAGTACCATTATCGCGTGGATCGGCAGCTAGCTCTGTTTTGCAAAACAAGCATCTTGCCTTCCTCAACTCCTTCTTCACTACCTTCCCCTCCGCCGCTTGTTTCTTGGCATTGGGATTTGGTACATAATACAGTTCGTACTCTTCATATGCTGTTGACTTTATCTTGGACACCTTACTCTTACTCTTTTTTGCAGGTTGTTTTGTTGCTGGAGCTGCTGCAACAGCTTCACCAGTAGCAGCAACAGGCTGCTCAGGAGCCACAACCTCGGGAGTATGTGCTGCCACAGAACCGGCAACATCTGCAAGTCCTCCACTTCCACTTGATTCATCAACCCTGCGTCTCTTCTTACTCTTGGTCTTGGCGGCAGGGGGAGGAGCTGAAATTGCCTTTCCTTTGTTTTTCATTGTTTTTGCTCTTTCTCCTTGCTTCTCCCTGTCAAAATTTCAGAAAATGCCAACTACAATTAGGATTCTCTGAAATGGCAGAAAGTTGAACTGTCGATTGGATTACATTTTACATTTGGATCAAGTGATTGGTTGAAGAAGGAGAACAGAGGAAAAAAGGAACTTACATTAACTTGACGTTAGTGGCGAAGCTAAAATCCCCTCAAGGAATTGCCAAAGATTCCCTCCTTGAGAACGAACAAACGAGAAAACTCTGTTTTGGGCGGAAGGTTGAAAAAGCCAAGAATGTCAACTGCCAAATTACCAATAACAAACACTTGGAGAGGTCAACGAGTGGAAGAAACAAACAAAAACCTCCCCTGACGGCAACAGAAAAGGGCGGTACAGAAATAGCATGTTCGTAGAGGAGGAGTGTAATTACCTAGCAGAGGAACAGCGGGGTCGCCGGGGTCGGACTTCGGAGATGGAACAGCGGCCAGTCGCAGTCGAGTCGGACGTCGAAGAATGGAACAGAAAAGGGCGGTACATTCGGGCAGTCGCACGCAGTCAAGTAAAACTAGCAGAGGAACAGCGGGGTCGGACTTCGGAGAATGGAACAGCGGCCAGAGGCGGAGGGGAATGGAACAGCGGCCAGCGGGTGAGTGGTGACGCCAGACGCCAGTCGCCAGTCGGCCAGAGACGGGGGCGGGAAGAAGATGGGAAGGGACGGCCGGGCAATCGAGGTCAGAACGAAGGGTCGCAGCCTCGCAGGGCAGAAGTCGAACTATCGAGGGCCGAGGGGGAGGGGATTTGATTTCCGATTTTCAGAATGAAGGGGCCAGGTCGCCGGGGTCGGGTATGGGGCTGGGTTGGGGTAAAGTTTGGGCTGGGCTGGGTTGAGGTAAAGTTTGGGCTGGGCTGGGTTGGGGCGGTTAGCCTTGCGGTTAAATAGAATTGCGGTTTCGGTTGCGGTTTAACCGCAAACCGCAAAATAGCCCATATCTCCAACCGCGACCGCAAAATAGGCCAAATATGCGGTTTGCGGTTAACCAATAACCGCGCGGTTTCGGTGCGGTTATCGGTTTAACCGCAAACCGCCAACCGTTTTCCCAGCCCTAGGTTGAGTGAGGCCTCACTAGCTTCGTGCGGTCTCGTGAGGATGAGAAGCGGCCCTCGACGTCCTGCAACAAAGGTCCTCAGGGGGTGCCCTGGGACCTCCTCCGATGCCTAAGTTAGAGAGAGAAGTGGATAGAGTAAATAAGAGAGAGAATGGGTAGATAGAAGTTACCATCAATGTGATCCGAGATGGGTATTTATACTAGCGAGGGTTGGGGACCAGGACATTTAATGCTATGTCGGGCGGTCCTGGACCGCCTGAACCCTGATCCCCTAAGACTGTCAGGTTTGTACTTCTGTCAGTCTTCGTACCAAGTTGTTCAGGGGACGCCCGTCCCACTTGTCGGGCGGCTCCCTGAGGTCCCGTTGCGGGGATGTCGGGCGTCCTTCCGGGTCAGTTGCCCCGAGGTAGACCGCCTCTCGTGTCCATTTGGGCTGGACTTAGTTGCCTGGTGGGCTCTTAGCGAGTCATGGGCTTGGGGCCCATAAGTCTTAACCGCTGGCCTAACATTTGCCCCTTAGGCGTGAGAGGCTTTAGGCTCTTGCGGCTAATCATCCTTTGCCGTTATGAAGCGGTTTAGGGTCGTCTTGCCCATGACTGTCTGTCCTGCCCCTGGCCGCGAGGGCCTAGAGCGGGATCGCCTGAGGGGCGGCTGCATTCGTGTTGTACTATCTTGTTTTTGTCGCAAAGCGTCTCTTGACCGCTTTCTGCATGGTTTCTTGCTCGGCTTCGGTCTTAGGGACACGAAGCGACGGTTGTCGAAAGGGAATCCGCGGCGGTTCCCGCCCTTTGTCGCCTTTCCGCTACGTGTCAGTTTTCGGGCGCGGAGCCCTGACACCAGGAGGCAAAACGTCATCTCAGAGCCTCGGTGCGCGAGCTTTGTCACTTCGGGATTTTGAATTTCCCCTTTTCGCTTTAAATGTGTGGGGAAGGGATTTTTTCCGCCAAATCCTTGTTTTAGAAACCGTTCGTCTTCTTCCTTGCTCTTTCTCCTGTGAGCTGTGCAGAGCTTGTGACCGATGACCCCTATAAAATCCGATCGGCGAACCAGGTAAGCTTTCACCCTCTTCTTTGTTTAGCGGCGCGGGGTTCTTTTTATTTTCGGATCAGCCCTTCAACTTGCTTCCCTACTTCACTTGAATCGCGCCGCCGTCGTCGGCCGCCGATTCCCTCGTCTTCGCAGATGTCCGGAGGCGCTTCGCCTTCGCCGTCCGGGGCCGGCGCACACGGCGCCACCGTTCATGTGAATTCCCTCGCCGCTGAGTCTCCTCCTGTGGTCATTCTCGAGAGGGAGCCCTCGAGTTCTGCCGCGCCATTGGCGGTCCCGACCATGGGAAAGAAGCCTTCGGGCACTGCTGCGACCGCCTTCGCTTCCCAAGGTACGAACTGTTTTTCACCCATTCGAAATCCATCCGAGTGCGTGTGGGATTTGTCTGGGCTAGAGTTATATGTTGGAAGTGCTTCTGAATTAGACGATTGTTTATTCGGGGATTGTGTCGACTTGGATAACGATTGTGCTAACATGCGCCCTGTACCAGTTGGGGTTGTGGCCACGTCATCCGCTGTGGGGGATAACTTGGGTGAATTTGAGCGGGTAGGTTTAGATAGTGTTTCGTTGGAGGAGGATGTCGAGGTAAGTAGTGGTGGTGAGCGCTCGGAGGCGTCTCTTAGCACTGCCTCATCTTTGGAGGTGTCGGAGTCAGGTGACCCTGGACCGCTCCCGATAGCTATTCATGACTCAGTTTATACCATCTTGCGCCATGATGGGATGTGGGAAGGAGAGCCTATCCCCTCGGAGGTATTTGAGCAGGGGCCGAAGAGC